AGGTAGATTTTCGGAACAAGTTCGTCTTTTACAATTTTTTTCTTAAAATTTTTTTTTCTAGCAATATATATATATTCGTATTTTTTTTTGTTAAAAATTTATTTATTATTTATGTATCTTTTATTACTTTATTTTTATTATTTTAATAATTTTTCCACATCTAGGCAGAACTATATATTATTATTTTTTTTAAATCTAATTTTTATTCCTTTTAACATCTAGGGAAGGATTAGACTAAGTTTGTTACTTTTATTATATATTTTATATTATATATTTTATAAGATTTTAAAATGTAAATAACGATGAAAATGTATGATTATAATTAAGGACAATATAAACATGTCAATTAGTAACATAACACTTATGTAAAACCCTTAAGCAACCAAGGTAGAACATAAACTAAAAATATCATATATTAGTAAAAACAATACTAATAAACAACAACAACAACAACAATAATAATAATAATGGAAAAAGAACTCTAAATTTTATACTATTATTTGTTTCATTTGCATTTTGTATTTATTAATTATTATTGTTATTATTTTTTAAAAAAGACTGATAAAATAAGCTTGTGTGAGTAATCCTTCCTTTATCAAAATGGTGAACATATCCCACGTCCAAGAGGAAAGAGCCAAAATAAAAAAAAAAGGTGTTGAAGCTATGCGACTTCCACAAACAAACCTCACATAAAAACAAACAAACATTAGAAGCAAAACAAAAAACTTTACCTTTTCCCCTCTCTTCAAACAACTTCTTTTCTTGTTTTATAAAACATTTTCTTCTTCAAAAAAAATGTTAAGTCTTTGAGTTTGAATAGAAAACACATCCTCATATGAATAATGGTAAGCAAAAGACAAAAATGAAAACTAAACATAATACAAAAACATCAAACAAGAAAAAAGAGAAAGAACAACAAAAAGCTTTAATCCATCCCCATGCAAACCATTATTAGCTCTTATTTTGGACTTTATTTGCCTACCTAACAAACAAACTCCTTTTAATATCAATGATCCATATACAACTAAAAGAAGACAATCAAAAGCATGTATAAAGAAAAAAATAAATATGACATACCAAAGGAAGAATAAACCCCTTTCACGCTCCAAAAATAGTTGGTATTTTTTGGTTCAAAAAATGGTCGTTACCTTCTTCCCTTGGTATGATCAACGTGCCTTTTCACCTCTTTTTTTTTTTTGTTTTTGTTGTTGTCATGCCTCTCGTTGCTTGTTGCATGCCTTCTATTATTTTCTTTGCTCACGTCACTATCTTTTTTCTTGGTATTTTTTGGTTATTTTTTCTCTTTCGTATGCCCAATTTTTTTGTACTCTGTGTATTATTTGTACATGTTCCTTTTTTTTCCTTTTTTTGGCTTTATTGCCTCCTTCTTTTTTTTTTTTATGGTTTTTCCTTTTTTTTTTCATTTCAAAACTACCAGCTTTTCTCTTACCATTTTCTCTCTTATTTTCTTTGGTTTTTCACCTTTCTTTTACATTCTCGCTGCAGCTTTGTTTTCTTTCTTTCTTTCTCTTTTACCTTAGTTTCTTCTACCTTTTGCTTTCATACCCAAACCTTTTCTTTTTCATGTCCAGCTCTATTTTTTCCTCTATATTTTTTTTTTGGTTTTTTTTTCAAAAAAGCTCATCTATTTTTTTGCTCGGTAGACCTTACCTCTTTTTTTAGCAACCTTTTTTTTTTTTTTCTTCAATAGTCCTCCCTTCTTTTGTAAAGAAAAACCATTTTAAAAAAAAAATCTTTTTCTTGGTGAATATAAGCCACCCTTAGATTAAATCTCATTCAATGGTCAAAGTTTTTTTTTTTTTCAAGAAGCAATCTTTAGCCATTGGATCAAGATTCAATAAGAGATCTAATGGTTCACATTATTCACTATAAAGATTGGATTTTTATAGCCCCTAAATCAAATGAAAAAAATATTTTACCCTTAGTATAAAGTTTTCAATATTTAGGTCATTTTCTTAAAAATCAATGTTCTCATATTCATTTTCAAGATTTTAAAGCACAAAAAATCATGAAATATTATGAAATTAAAATCTAAAAAGTTTAATGAAAATTCAAGCTCATGAAGGCCAAATTACTAAATACCTTTAAGGGGTATTTTAGTAATTTTACTTCTCACGTGCAATAAAAAATTTGAAGTGATTTAAAAATCATCAATTTTAACTTTTGAACTACATTGATTCCAATTAGGATGTAAATTTTGAGAATTAACCTAGGTTTTATCCATTTTGATTAAGTTTTATGCAATTTTGACTTTGTTTGACTAATTTTTACTTTATTGACCAAGTTTGATTAGATTTGACTCAAGTTAACTTTGGGCCTCCAAATGGGCTAATTTGTGGACTTTTTATGAGTTGTAAATGACATTCTTAATTGGTTTACATAATGGTCCTATATTAATGGTTCTGGCCCTTGTTCATAAATGAGTCCGAGTTAATTATATTAAAAATATTTCGAATAAAATTCGGTGTCTATAATCTTAATGCAGAGTTAGAATTATAAAGGCATGCACTAAAGTCTTGAGACTTTAAATTGAGTATATCCAAAACTGAATATATAGAATGTAAGTTTAGTAATTATAGAGAAACGAGTACCAATGTGATTAAGTTAGATGATGAGGTAATACTAAAGGTAGTCATTTTCAATATTTTGAATCAATTATTCACAATGATACTGAGATAGAAAGGGATGTAAATCATAAGATTTGTATATATTTAGATAGTTTGCATGCACTAAGATACTTTTTGCTTGGTACAAACTATGCTCACAAACTTCTTCATGTAAAAAATATAGATTTTTATGATGGACTAAGTTTGATCGAGTGGAATGTCCAAATTTGACAGCAAACAAAATAAATGAGAGAAATACATTTTTACAATAGAAGAAGTTTGAATGAGTTGAAAGAATAACTTTAAAACCAAACAAAATGAAAGGGAAAAACATTTTCTTTTAGTAAATGAAAGCAATAATATCTTGTATCCCCACATGAACTATCTATTTTGCTTAGTATTTTGTGAAAAAAATTTATGCTTTTATGATGAAGGAAATTTGAACAAGTTAAAAAATCATCTTTGAAATCAAACAAAATAAATAGGAGAAATACTTTTTTTGGTAAACAAAAGCAACAATATAGTGTACCTTAATGGTAACAAATTATTTTGCCTAATAATTTGTGAAATGAACTTATACTTTTATGATTGACAAAGTTTAAATGAGTTAAAAGGACCAACTTTGAAATCAAAAAAATGAAAAGGAGAAATGCTTCTTTTTTTTTTATGTAAATGAAAGTAACAATATCTTATACCATAATGGGAACTATCTATTTTGCTTGGTACTTTATGAAAAAAAAAAAAACTTATACTTTTACAATGGAGGAAGTTTGAACGAGTTGAAAGAATAACTTTGAAACAAAATAAAATGAAAAGAAAAAAAATGCTTTTTTTGGTAAATGAAAGCAATAATATATTGTATCCTAGTGGGAACTATCTATTTTGCTTGGTACTATATGAAAAGAACTTACACTTTTACAATGGAGGAAATTTGAAGTTAAGGACCAACTTTGAAACCAGAAAAAATGAAAGGGAAAAATGCTTTTTTCGGTAAACAAAAGCAATAATATCTTGTATTTCAATGGGAATTATCTATTTTGCTTGGTATTTTGTGAAAAAAATTTATACCTTTATGATGGAGGAAGTTTGAACGAGTTGAAAGACCAAAGATTAATATAAATAAGCAACTTATAATGTGTATAAATCATGAAAATATTACAATGGGAAATGCTTTGCTTGTTATCCTTCAACAAGGGAGAAATGTCTTTTTGGCAAATGAAAACATAATACAAGAGCAACAAACTATTTATGTTCAAACTATTGCCATCATAAAAGTATGTCTCATATCAAAAAGATACACGATCTTATCATAAGTTTTATTTTTCTTGGTACTTTGTAAAAAGAACTTATATTTTTATAATGAAGAAAGTTTGAACGAGTTGAAAAACCAAATATAAGATTAATATAAATAAGCAACTTAATTTGTATAAATCATGAAAATATTATGATGGGAGCCTTCAAGTATAAACAATGTCGGTGAGCTATACGTTGTGAAAAGAACAATATCATGTATCATGTAGTTGAAATTGTTATTATAACTAGTTTAAGTGCTTGATTTGACCGAAAACCAAAAAAGCTTTTTCTTTTCTTTTTTTTTTATGATGGAGTAAGTTTTCATTTCCTTTTTCTCAATATCTTGCTATCATTTATATAACATTAAAAGAAGGGGAATAAGGAATTAAAGAGCTTAAAATAAAATCAGGGCCGATGACAGTATTGTTGTTGAACACAAAAAGAATAGAGAGCAAAGAAAATGATGAGACATGTTAATTTATATATTCGTGATGTAAAAAATATCAATAAATTTATATTTTCATATTGTATTTTATATAAAAAGTATGTGTTATAAATTATATTGATAAAAATATTAAATATATTTTTTTATTTTTTAAAATTTTAAATTATTATTTTTTATATTATTTTCATGCTTATTTTAAATTATCAATTTTAATAACAACATAGGTAATCTCAAACCTTGTTTAGAGTTTGTGCAGGTGCTATCGTGCATTTCCTTGCACACAAATTTTGGCCAAAAATATTGTAATTTTCAAAAAAAAAAAAAAAGGTTATAATAAAATTTTGTTTTCCTCCTTTTTTTTTTTTTTTCCAATTCTGTATTGAATAGATGCAGCAAATTCAAATTGACTTGATAATTTTTTTCTTTTAACTTTATAATCAATAACTTGATAGGGTTATTGACTTATTGTGGTGTGGATGATATACTGATTAAATTTGACCTTACATATAAGGTTATGACACAAGAGAGACATAATTTTAAAAAATGAGAGACATTTAACCTACACAACAGACAGGTTGTAATCCCAGTTGGTTTAATTTGGCTAATTGTACAATTGGAAAAAGGGGGAAAATCAGGGCTTAGCTAAAACTGAGTGATGCCAGAGATGGATTCTAAGGAATTAGGTCCTCTCCTCTTCTGATTGAGATGAAATGGTACTTGGTAGATCAGAAAGAAACCATCAATCAGAATCCTGGTATTGATCTTAATTCAATTGATTTATGTCATCATCGTAAGAGATGACATTCAAATGAATATGATGTTTAAATTCAGATTTCTCAAAACAATTCAGTGATAGATATGAAACACGTAATTTACTAATTTTGGTAAATTCTTTTCTTTCCCACATTAAAAATTCATTTCTATACCGTCTGGTAACATTCACGAGGAACAGAAAAAATGTTCATACAACAATAGCTTTTACTCCATAAAATGGATGTTACATCACTCGTTTTCTGCAAAATCTCTCTCTCTCTCTCTCTGGTTTAAAATACCAAATGTAACAGAAAAGAAAAAACTACAGACAATTAAGAAGATCAAAGAAAATTGAACTTGACAAGTGACTTCCAATAAATTTCCTTACTGTCTTTCCTTTTCCCACTGAAATGAAAATAGCACAGTTTCTTTTCCAATTCTGTATCCTCTCTTCAGATTTATCTAAACATTTAGAATCACTCAAAAAATGCGTGTGGCTTCAAAGGGGTTGGAAGGCTAATTTGCACCTGGTTCAGATAAAAAAGGTGAGATTCAACAAACATGTTTGAAACCAAATATAATACTAGCTTCAAGGTAACAAGGTCTTTACCACCTAGTATTAGTTGTCATAAAAAGAACACAGCAAAATCAATTCTACTACAAAGCTATTATTATTGCTTAGATTTCTCCATTTAAGGGTGTTTAGTTGTCAAGCACTTCTCTAAAATCTTAAGAATACCTTTAAGAGAAGACTCTTCCAAATAAAATCCCACTGAAAATAAGCGCACCAAACCACTTGTTGGAAACAAACCTGTAACCAAGAGAAAAAAATGAAAAGAAATGAGACAGAACCACAAACCGCAAACTGAGTACAAATGAAATAAACATTTAGGCAAAAGCAAATCTCTGGATTCTCAACTAGTAGGCATAAAAAGAAGTTTATGATCCTTGTGTATAATTTGTAACTTTGTCTATTTACATCCAAAACTGCAGGCAAATTAGATTAAATTTGACAAGCATTGCAACCAAACACTGACTTAAACTTATCACGCACTTTCTATTGCAATCAGCACGGCATGAGAGATTAACAGTCCATATCTGCCAAGCCAATTGTGCAGATGCTGCAGCCAGAAAGGCATAATATGGCCACCCTGCTCAAAAGTAATTAACAAAACTTAGCAAAACAAAAGGTTAACATAAGCAAACTGCATGTTAGCAAAATTTAAACAGAAAGCAACAGAATACCTATGTCAGCATTGAATCCACAGAGAGCAAGACTACTTATGCATGCAACTCCAAACCCAGTAGTCCACTCCTTAGTTGAACTCCCAAACCTCAAGGCTGTAGATTTAACACCAACTTTAAAATCATCCTCTTTATCCTGAATGAAGAGTTATCAACGTCAAAGAAAGCAACTATCATATTACGGTTTCATACTCCCAACAGATTTTGGAAAACAAAATCTTCAACTCATACGGATGATGTATCTCACAGAAGATGTTTTTTTTTTTGGGTGGGGGTGTATGAAGGAAAAACAAAAAAGAAGAAACAACATAAACAGGGTTGATTTTATTAACAAATAAAGTTTTCCTTTTCTTCTTTGGCATTACAAACTTACAAATACAGTGAACTACTAGTACCCATGCATAAAAATTTGCCTTTCAATTTATAGGCTCTAGTTGTTCAGTAGAAATTGACTTTCAAAAAAACGTTTTATAAAAAATATTTACATTTTCTGAAAAAGATAAAATTTTCTGTTATTAGGATAAGTTAATGAAAAATGTTTTCTGTTGTTTGGTTGTTTTCTGAAAAATCTGTTCTTTTTTCAAATAATATTAATATAATATTAAATATTAAAAATTATTTATTATTTATTAAAAAATATTATTTATTAATATAACCATTAAAAATTATTTATTATTAAAATATTATGTTCAAAATCTTACTTGAGTATAACTATAAAATTTTTAAAATTAAAATATTAAAAGATTTAATATTAATATTTTAGTTTTTTAAGTAAAATTAAATAAAAATATTATTTATTAATATAATAATATTTTGGGTCGAGTCAAATTACGTTTGAGTTTAAAAAATCATGTACAAGATCCAACTTGAGTAAAATTATGCTCAAGCATATTAATAAGTAGTTACACTCATAGACAGCTCTTTTCTAGAAATTGTCTTCATTCCTTTCGAAAAGGGTAAGATAATTTTCACAAAAATTGCCTCATTTTCTGTTGACCAGTAAGTTATTTTTCATTGACCAGTCAATTTTCTACCAAACAAACACCTAAAAATGTAGAAATCATTTTTCGAAAGTCATTTTCTATGAATCAAACGAAGCCATAATCTTATCTTTTTTATATAAAAGGTTAGAATTCATAAAAAAGCCATTGTCAGCTCCATAATCAACCCTCATCACCCATAAAACCATAACCATCTGAAACAGACCTGCCTCAACTGTCATCAAAAACTGTCACCCCTACTAACCCCAACTGGAGTTAAATGTGAAAAATTAGTAACCACAGTCTTGTTTATCCAGTATAAAAAATAAAAGATCGATTAAACAGAAGCACATTAGCTCCTCAAAACTTAATAATAACAGACCATTTCTCTTTTTTTTATGTTGGCCAGAATAACAGACCATTTGAAGCTAGGATTTTACTCCAGTAAAAGCTGTAAAGAAAAACATTAAATACATATAGCTTTCAAGAGACAAAGTTGTACCTGATGTGCATATATTGTATCATACACAAGAGTCCATAATACTCCAGAAAAGTATAGTGGGAACACAATGTATGGATCTAGACTTCCTTTAATGGCCGACCAACCTAATAAGGCTCCCCAGTTGAAGGTCAAACCTAGATAGGCTTGGGGCTGAATCAACCAGATGAATCAAAGTTAAACAAATAAACAGTACTGAATATATGAAAGAAAAATAAATAAATATAAAAACATCATTACCCAATACGTAAATCTCTTCATAAGAGGATAGGAGAAGACTAGCAACAAGGATGAAGCACCTAATACACGGCTGTAAGAAATGGTTAAGCAATATCAGTTACAAATCAAAAGTCTTTTACCAACCAGCTACATTGATTTCAAGAAATTTTCAAAGGAGATTGTGAAAAGACAAAAGTGAAATTCAGATAATATAAAACAGAATTCCAATGATTAAGCATAAGCCAATACTATTCGAATGGAAAATCCCATGTAAAATCATGAAAGGTCTGTGGTAAAGTTGCAGACGTCCAAATCATTTACAAGATAACTGAAGCAATGGCATGAGAAAAAACTCTAACCTATAATTATTGAGTTGAAGTAGAATTCCAAGACCCAAAAGTAGTTGGAACCCAAGAAAACAAATCCCTTGAAATGGTGTCAAAAGACCACTTGCAATAGGTCTTAGCTTTGTACGCTCTACCTGCATGCAAAATGATTCAGATAATCACACTTTTGGAATAATGAGCCAGCACATGACAAGAATTTATAAGCGGAAAATTAATGCATTCCGTCTAATTTTAGGGTCCTTCAAACTCCGACTTTCCTTAATTATATACACAACTTTGACATATTAGGATTATAAGCCAGAAAATTACAAGTGAGATTGCAAAGAAAAAAGCTGAAGAAAGAGTTAAAGTTACCATAGTATCAATATCCCGATCAAGGAGGTCATTGATGGTACAACCAGCACCCCTCAAAAGCAAAGCACCGCAACCAAATAAAGCCATCATCTTAAAGTCAGGAAGATGCCCAGGTGTTGATGCTAGTGTAATTGACCTAAAAGAGTTTGATGCCAAAGCAACAAAATTTCAAACAAATTCCAAAACCAAACAGAGCAACAATTAGGAAAAAGGAAGTCTTACCACATACAAGGCCAAGTGAGCAACCATGTTCCAATAGGTTTATCGAGGCGCGCAAGCTTAGCATAAGGTTGAATTCCTCTGGGCAAATAAACGTCAATCCACGAAGGAACATCCACAGCATTCCTGTTATTGTTACTACTACGCTGTCGTTCACCCTTGCTCGAGCTGTCCGTGACTCCTGAAGAGGTCGATATCCAAGCAATTCCATGTCTGAGAGATGACAGATTTTCGTTGGAGACTTTGGAATGATCACGAGAATTTTCATAATTGGGAAACAAATGGGAAAACCGAGTGAATGGGTTGCCAAAATGGGGACTCCTAATCGTGGTTCGGGAAGATTGCGATGAAGAGAGGATAGAGAGTGAAGAAGAGAGAAAGGGTCTGAGGATGTTGCGTGAGGCGGCGCGAGTGAGCCGAAACGACGACATTTTTTTCAGTCTTCACTAAAACTACTCAGGTTTTGTGTTTTGGAAGTTTAGAAAGAGGGCTTGACCGTTTGAACCGTAAAGCACCCAACTCGGCGAATCGGCCATCCGCAATTCTGGATAGCTAAAGAAATGAAAACGTAATGGCTGGGAATGATATTGCGCATTGCCCAGGACTCCGGGCTAAGGTGCAGTTGGTGGCACTGGCAGGTCGGATTTTGATAGCCATTTACTTGCAACATTTTTACGTATTTGTCCTAAAACATAGGGCTTGAAAGATGATGATGCCCCAAACACTTTCCCCGCATGGCATCCGATCATTCTTTTCAGGTTGGAGTATTTGCATCCCAAAAACTCTCATTGCATCCTATAAAATTAATCAAATAAAAAACTACCTAAATACTTATTAATTAACTATTATTTTATTTTTTACATCTCTTTTCAGTAAATTATTAAAAATGAATTTTCAAAATCTTTTTTAATGTATAAAAAATGCATTTTCAAAAACTTAACTATACTAAAAATTTATTTTCAAAAAAATTTATAATTATCTAAAATTACATTTTCGAAAAATATTACAATTGTTCAAAATATATTTTCAACAGTAATTTTTTCTTCAATTTTTTTGTTGCCACTTTCAAACATGTTTGTAATAACTTTTTTAACATATGTGATATTTAATTTCGATAATAAAAACATTTAATATTCAATTAGACATTACTCATTTAATAACATTTGAAACATTTATCAATTCTAATAAATATGTAATTAAAAAAAAATATTTAGTGTAAAAAATACTTGTGCAAGTGGTTACTAAACATATGCGATGAGACAGTCACGTTTCATCACACATGATGTAAAAGCCAATTTACATAATTACCTTTTTACACTAAGCTATATCTCTTAAATACACGTTTGTCATAATTACAAAATATTACAAATATTATTAAATATATAATATCTAATAACCAAATATTAAAAATTTTTATTGGTGGATTTGTCAATATGTTAATGACATAATAATATCAATTTTTATATATTAAAAAGTTATTTAATCTCTATTGATAATTAAAAATTATTGTATACCAAAAATTTATTCTTGAAAGTTTTTGAAATATTTCAAAAATTAACATCCGAAAACCATTAAAAAATTTCGAAAATATGCTTCCAAAAATTCTCAAAGGTTGTTGAAATTGAATTTCCCAAAAAAAAAAAAACCCTGAAACAAATTTTTAATATGTTAAAAAAATTATCCATTTCTAAAAACTTTTAATGCATTCAAAATTTTCATTTTCAAAAAACTTGAATCACGACCCCAAATCACATCTTAAATTTAAAACCTTAAATTTTTTAAAATTAAACATAAATTCAAATGAAAAATAAAATAATTTACTTATAATTCTAAGTGATTAAACATCAAAATCAAAATTGAAACTTGATTTGAGACTTCTAAAAGATTTAAGGTTTCGTTGAAGAAAAAAAAAGAGATCTGAGATGTTTAATTTTTTAAGAAATTAATGTTTTAGCTTAAAATACGAACAGAAAAAGAAATTAGTATTAATGGGATGTAAGGAGAGAAAATGTCGGCATAAATAGTCCCTCTCTTCCTTTCATTTAAAGACCAAAAAAAAAAAAAAAAAAACCCTTCTCCCACCAGACCCTTTTTTGCGATAGATGCAAGATCCGCAAAATTCAAAGTCCCTTTTTCCAAATAAAAAAATAATTCGCAGAATAGAGGGTGTCAATGTTTTAGGGGTAAAAGAAATTCCTTCTGGCACAATAATATTGCAGTAACTAAGTAGATATCAAGTCGCATATTTTTCCTCTATATGTCAAACACTAGCATTAGAAAGCGTGCGTATGGCGACGAAACAATATATTGCAGAAACAATGGTTGAAAAATCAGTAGCTCGCGGCGGCAATTGCATTAGTACAACGTATATTTTGCTCCTCTTTCTTGTCTCGATAAATTTTAACAGCATCAATGCCTCCATGGCAGAGATAAAGTTCAGAAAATGGGTTATCATCTCAACTTCATTGAAGCAAATGAAGTTGCCAAATCCATCGCCTCATTAACGTGTGATGCATCCGTTCTCTGAAATGAAAGATACATTCCATATATTATAGAAGATACGGCTTGCAAGCAAACTCAAATATCACAAAACTGTAAGGATTTCACAACACGCAACTGGATTCAAATTCAACACTGTGTTTGATTGAGAGGAGAGGAAGGAAAAAAAAGTAAAATAAAAGAATATAAAGAAAACAAAATTCTTTTTTTTTTTATTTGAATAAATTTTTAATTAAAAAAAAAGTGAAAATCAAATAACTTTTGATTTTTCTTGTAAAAATAATTTTTTTTAATATCCCAATTTGCAAGAAAAGCTAGGGAAAGAAAATTTAAAAAATATTTTTTTTATAAAAGGATTATTATGTTCATCTTTTTATTAATACTAAAAACTTAAGCAGATCACAATTATTCTATAATTTTTTCAAAATCATCTCTTTTTTCAAATAAGTTTCACAAATCTCTTCCAATATAAAATTTTTTTATAATTTTTTGATAATTTGATTTTGATGAATAGTTGAATATGAATAAATATATTTTTTTGATTTATGAGATACAGACTAACTCAAAATCTATTAATGCATGTTTGTAAAATATTTTCCTGTTTCATTTGATTAAAAACCATTGATATAAAAACAATTGTGAGGCCAGACAAAATAGCAAACATATCATGATCTAAAAATACACTAAAATCACATGCAATGAAAGGTTATAATTAGAAAAAATTATTATAATGAATCGTTTTCTTTTTTTTTCACTCTTTATCCAAACAATGGTTGTTAGAATTCCTTTCTTTTCTTTCCTTTATTAATTTTAATTAGCCAAATAAGGGTTATATATATAACTTCCTTTCTTTTAAAAAACTTTCTTTTTCACTCTTTTCCTTTCCTTGTCTTTACTTTATTAATATTTATCCAAACATAACGTGAATGATAAAAATCCAAACATTTCTCACAGCAACTGAATTTTAATCACCAAGCCACCAACCTGTCCTGTAGCCAAACCACCCTTGCCTCTACCACACCTCCCCTTTAGAGGCCCTAGTGCATTTGTCAACCACTCTGACACTTCCAATAGCTTGCTCTGTTCAGATTTCTCTGGTACACCAGCATAAACAACAGCTTTGTTTGTGGTTTCATCATTACTGAAAACCATAACTGGCATCCCCTGTTTATTAAACGGCAACATTTAGAACAAATGTGCGAAACAAACTATGATAAAAGACTCAAATAATTGAAAAAAAAGGGTCAGAATTAACTAGAAACCTTCTGCTGAAAAACTTTTGAAACTGCTTCACGAAGAGCAGTTGCATCTAAACCAACATCAACACCGGAGACACAGAAGGTCTTTCCCTCTGAGGCTGCAACTTCAGCCAATTTAGTTGCTATCGAGACAGCTTTCTGCATATTTTGCTCAGCAATCTTCTTTTGTGCCTTTTTCAGTTGATTCTGATAAAACAAACCAATTTAGAAGGATCCAAGACCATCATTAAAGGACAACAAAAAAAAGAATTACTGTTACAACAACTAAACAAGGACACTAAATCTGGAATATTGTTGCTCAAACTCAGGTTCTAGCATCAAACATGAATGTTTGTTTAACACAGGCACATTAACTTTTCCCAGGAATTTTTCCTTGCATTTACAGGGTCATATCCTCATATCCACATCTGTACTTTGAAGCATCTACATGGGTCTAGCATGCATTAGGAAGAATGATTAGTCAGAGTGACACGGGATAATAACTAAACTTGACGGTGTTGCAGAGTCTTATATAGATCAGCTGTGATACCTGAAGTTGTGTGATCTTGCCCCTAATATCAGCTTTCTTAGTAGCTGGTATTGATGCAGAATACACACTAGTTTTTAAAGAAGCCACTTTCTGTAAAGATGCAACATAAAATTTCAAAATGGAAGGCAAATATGGTATAATACTCCTTGAAGAAGAATTTTTTTAACCAAAAAAAAAAAAGACATCTTAAATGGTATAAAATCACCCTCTAAATGAGATGAAAAGCAGAGACTAAGTGTTTTAACCTCTATCAGATTTTAGCCAGTTTTGCATGATACAATGAACATAACATTTGCACATTATGTATGAGAATCCACAAGCAAGCAGGAGATGTTCAGGAGGGAAGCAAGAGAGAGCAGAGAGAATCATAATATAACAAAATTGAAAACTAAATACCCAACAAACATGCCCTAAAACAAAACTTAAGAAATAATGGCATCAATTGAACAGGAAACACAGCATGAAGGCAAAAACCATAGAATTCGCCTTAAAGCAGAACAATAAGAGTAATATAGCAACTTAAAACAAAAACAAATAAAGGTATTGATGATAAGGACTCCCAAGCATTAAAGTCTTAGAGACCATGGTAGACAAACAAACCTTCTCCAGCAAGCTTACTTCCAACTTGGATGCATCATCTACTTCCTTCAAAAGCAGGTCACCTAATTCCATTGCATTCAAAGCACTCTCAGTAGTGACAGCAGTTATCCTTCTAACTCCTTTAGCAACTCCCTCCTCAGATAAAAGAGCAAATGCTTTTGCTTCCCACGTATTTGTTATGTGTGTAACTATTAACATCCTTGAAGTCAGCTTCAACACAAAATTCATAGCAAGGCTTCTAGTGAAGTCATTCAAATAAAGAAATTAACCTCCACATAGTTCTGCTGAAATTGATGACCATTCTTTGTTTTCTGGATCAGCAAGGAGGTCCTCCACTTTTTGACCAATTGCCACTACTCTAACCGGATCAGGATAAACCTGCATTGAAAACATACCACAACATGACTTGTAGAAGGAATGCAAAAAGCCAAATTAGAAAGCCATAATGAAGAAAATGCTTAAGTTTACTTCTCCAAAGACAGCTCACAAACCATTGATACGCTTGGCTTCAGCAAGTGTCACCTCCTTCGAAAATACATCTAACTCAGCTTTTATTTGCTCATTCACAATAGACTCAAATTTTCTCAAATCGTCAGCCGTGATAGCACCATCTCTGTTTGGATCTGATAACAATGGATCAAATTTTAGCAATAACTTACAGCATCCTCCAAACTAAATAGCATAACAACTGTGGTGCTATTTGATGAATTGAAATTCAACAGTGAAAAATTAAGTGTTGAATTTTTAGTTTTGAAAAATTCAAGTACCAAATTTATGATGCAAAATTGGGTGGTAGCTACTGAAAATTAAATGTTGTGTAGATATTGAATCTTTTGTAAAAATGATATGTGACTTTATAAGGATTTTGCATTGAAAAATTTTAAAAAGGA